ATAGATCGTGTAGATCTTACAGACGCATACATTCGATGCTTCCTTTTCGACTTTGAAGGCATCAAGATGATTGGCGCATACACCTACTGCGAATTGGCCAGCTTGAGAAGAGTTGGATGATAACCATATCGGTGCTCCAATCTTCTATTGCTAATTTGATGGTCTGATCTATTTATTAACAAAGATAGTGGGAATTTGAAACCATGGAAGTACTGAGTGAAGTCTTTAATATCAGAGAGAAGCGTCATAGCTCATGACATATATATAACGTAAATATTCAAGCAAATCTACGGCTATACCAGAACCAGACGGTTGCCGGTCCCCAAAGCGGCACTGTTCGCAGCAATGCGGAAAGAAACCTCAGAGCTTCGCAACATTAAGGGCTTGAGATGCCCACGTTTCTTTGACGAGGTCCGCACATTTCTCGCCAATTCCATAAGCAGGCATCTGAGTATGTCCTCCGTTGAGAGTTGGCATGACACTACAATCTGCCACACGGAGTCCGGTCACGCCACGAACACGCAACTTGTTATCGAGAACAGCGTTGGTATCGCCATCTGGGCCCATGGCGCAGGTACCCCCAGCGTGGTAGCCTAGAATAAGTCCATCAGTATAAGTGGTGCCAACAGATAGAAGAAAGGAGCATACAAGTTGTCGCATGTTCCTTTACATAAGGTATCCACTGTTCTCTCTTCGTGTAAGTGTGGTGGGTCAGATTAGGAGGCCAAGAGCCTTTCACGATGTCCTTCGTCCCAGCGCCCTTGGTAATGATCTCATTTGCGAATCTACATGCTTCGGTTATCACAAGCAGATCCAGTGGGTCTGCGAGGTAGTTGCAGTCCACTACAGGTTTCTCCAAGGGATCCTTAGATTTCAGCGTCACACTACCGCGAGACCTAGGCGAGAACAATTCGGCGATGATTGAGAATGCGTACTTGTGATCAATAGGAAATTGATCGTACTGTTTAGGACCACCGTAACATTCCGTAGTGAAGAGCTCAATATTCGGCTGATTGGGTGTCAAACCCATGGGATCCCGGCCTGGCTGTCGTGGCGCATTCTTCCACAGGGGCTCATTCTTAAGACGATCATCTAGGCGCGCGAAAGCAAAGGAGCCAAAAGGGAAGGTTGACAGAAACCCCTCTTTCTTCTCCTTCCAAAGCGCATAGGTTTTGTCAAAACTGTCGCCGTGGTAGACGTGGTGGTCGGTCGTCAGACCAGGCTTTACTGTCTCGTAGAACATGAAAACGATCTGGACGGTTCTGGTTAGATGCAAATTCTATAGATGAAGCTGCCATAGAGCACCCACCAAATGATCCATGAGATTCTTCCCGACGCCCGGGAGGTTGACCAAACATTCAATGTTGTGTCTCTGCAATTCTTCCTTCGGACCTAGCCCAGACCTCATTAGAATTGTAGGGCTACAATAAGATCCACTGCTGATAATTATTTCCCTCTTGGCATGTAGTGTCCGTCGCCCATTTGCTGTTACCACCGAGACACCGTCCGCTTTGGGCCCACTTGGGGTCTTCTTGAAGAGTATCTTGTCCACAGTGGTGTCTGTCATGAACGTAACATTGTTGCGATGATAGCCATTCGTGACAAAGTCTCCGCTAGTAGTGCGGATACCATTGTATACTGACCGTGGTACATGACCACACCCATGAGGTGTCTCACCAGTTGTGAACATGTCAGGATCCAATGGAAGGCCCTGCGAAACGAAAGAGTCCATTATGCGTTCGGAAATGGGCGCGAGATCATGTGGTTCGACGTGAAGAGGACCCGAGTTTCCATGATGCTGATCGGACGCCTTAAACCAGGGTTTAGTATGGAACGTTTCGGCCTGGACAAAAGTTGTCAAGTTTCTAATGTCTCAGTCCCCTCCTGCTTATGGTGAATGGGTATGGCGGTACATACCTTCTGCATGTACTTGAAAAATTCCTTGCCACTCCACCCATCCAGACCCCAATCATCGTAATCTTGCTTGCTGCCGCGTATGCAAAGTGTCCCATTGCAGCCACTGCAACCTCCAAGGAATTTGCCTCTGCTGAGCTTGACTTGCCGATTATTGACGTTGGGCATGGGCGGAGTGACAATGTTCCAGTCTGTCGTAGAGTCGAGCAGATTACTCCAGCTAATCAAGTAAGAAAAGTTGGACCGATTCCTAGGAGTGTGATGCATGTACGAACCCGCCAACCATATGGACATTTTCGAGATCTTTATTATGCTGTCCAGCTTCGATAAGAAGAATTCTTATGTGCGGATTCTCAGCCAGGCGACCGGCCACCACGCATCCTGAGGTGCCACCCCTGAGTGTAGAAGAGAGCAGTTAGCCATAGTGAAGACAAAGACCAGACAAAAAGCACACTCTATACTAAGTGAGACTAACCCGCAGATAATGTAGTCAAAAGAATTCTCCATGTTGCGCACCGCAGTCGAGCAGCCAACAGGTGGCTCGAATAATAGTAGGCAAACTGTGAGAAAGCTCCTCAGTAGTGCAGAAAGAGGCATACGGACACGTTCGGATTTATACTGCTACTATGGCCGGTAGCAGGAGTTCATTCCGCGGCGATACTTCGCAAAAACCTGACATTACAGCTGCAAGAACAAGCGCCATTGTGGAATGGTATTCCGCTCTAACAGCACCTACCATCTAGCTTGAAACCTCCTCCGCCAATTGAGTTACGCAGTTGACCGATATCTGCAGACCATCCCAAAGCTTACCCCACTTGAAGTCGACTGTGGCGGAGCATATTGATTAACTCGACCCACTAAGGAGGAGTAGAAGGATCGTTACTATGTCAGCGAGCAGAATTACGAGCAATTTGGCTTGCGGGGTAATTTGATAGCTCAAACCTTAGTTTAAGGAATAACGGAAATATGCGGCCTCCTGGCTGTCAACGGATATAACCACACTTGGTTCCCAGCGATTCAAATTCAATTTTGAGTAGGTACAGAGAGGCGGGCAAATTCCGCTCATTTTCCGACTCTAATTAGCATCCTTTTGGTCGTGCGGGGTTGTACCACCCCGATCCCCTGTATACAGCTCATTGGTCTCCTCCAGCCCCTTACCAGCAGTTTCGGGCAGGAAACACCATGTGAATAGGAGCCCCAGCAAGGACATTCCTGTGAAAAACCAAAAAGTACCCTTGGGGGTAAGGGAGTCGTGGTCGAGCAGCATCAGCGTGGTTGCCTAAGAGGGAAGGAATCTCTAGTCAATATTATCCCGACAGTCGATCTGCGCCAAGGATATACATGGAACCAACCTTGGAAATGCCGATCCGGTTGGCATAGTGCCACAGTGTAACGAGAGTCACACCTGCGATCCGAACCCCCAGTGGGAAGGACTCGGCGGTGATCAAATACTGGATTGAATTCCAACCCAGGGCCCAGCCAATGCCGATGAAGTAAATCATCACAATTGCGCCGATGGCAGCATGCCTTACTGCTGGGTCATCTTGCGACTGACCAGATAGGGAGCTAAATATAGTGAGAAAGATCGAATCGTAGGTCAGTGCGATAACCTGAAGCACGAGGCCGATATATAATGTCTTCCTCCTGCCCAGATAATCGATCAAGAAGATTGCCGAAATTAGCGCGAATACAAACTTGACAGCACCAAAGACCGCCGTCGTGAAGAGTTTTTGCGACTGGCCTTGAATACCGAAGAGTCCAAATAATTCGGGGGCATATGCTAGTGTATGTCAGATCAGCCCGAGCGTGCTCATTGCTAATTCCGGGGCTGAGACTTACTAGTCACCGAGTTGGGGCCGGACCACTCGCCCAAGCACTGCAGGATGAACACGAAGGCGATCCGTTTCAAGTGGGATTTTGTCCCAAAAAGCTCTTTCAGCACTCCAATCAGACCTGATCGTGATGCCACCTCACGCTCAAGTTTGAGCTGAATCTTGACATTTGAGACCTCAACATGTATTCCCGGATCCAGTGGTGACACGTTCCATAGTCGTGCAAGCGATTGGAGTGCTGCCAGAGGACGGTCCTTTCGACACAAGAAACGCGGACTCTCCTCACAGAGCAGAGAAGCGATCAGTAGCAGGCCTGCCCACATTATTTGAACGCTTTGCGGGATAACCCACTGCTTCGCACTCGAGTCGGGGATGTGAATGGACGCCCCCCATATTGAAAAATACTGTCAAGGTCAGTAAGCTGAGTCACGTATTTACATTATAGATTTTCACTATGCTCACACCAATCATAATTCCTAGGTATTCTGACATGCCATATAAGCCTACCAGCATCCCGCGAATTTCTCTGGGTGCCACCTCCCCGAGGTAGATCGGGGCCATTACACCAAACTGTCCAATACCAAGACCCATTATGAATCGACCGGCATATACCTGCCCAAGGTCACGGGATGTGATAAACACTATAGAACCAATGATCCACATCAAGCAACATTGACGGAAGGTCCAAAGGATTCCGATGCGCTCGCTGCAGAGGAATGCGACTATAGCCCCCGGTAAGCTGCCTATGTGGACCATAGAGGTGATGTTCGACAAGCGATTGGCTTTTTGGGATGCACTGAGATAGTCGGCCTCTAGATGAAACTGGTCAACGAACGATTGTTCCGCCACAGTGCTGGCGATAAGCCCAGAATCAAGACCTATAAGGAGTCAGTTCGCCAGGATGCACGGAAAGGGAGGGGAACAACGGACCCCGGGCAGCGCCCGATAAGCCAAAGCAGATTGCAGCACATAGGAGCTTAAAGGTGAGCTTCCTAAACAGAGCAAGATGCTGCTTTAGGCCTTGCATCCTGGCAAAAGAAAGCAGAGACTGAGAGTTGGCGTAGAGAGGGACATTGGAATGATGTGGAGGGATGCTTGAGTAAGAAGGGAAGGAATCATTTTTCTTATCAGGCGACAGAAAATCTTCTCATCTCCCCTCTTTGGGCGTGACTAAAGAGCCACGAGTTCTCCTACAAACCAGCACAGAGAATGAGGGCCCTAAGGGGTGAATAGCGCGTGTAGTGGATCCGGTACCACAAAGCCAGTGGGATGTGCTTCAGCCTTACCCGCTCTCTAACAGCCAACCATCCCCACCCACTCCCACTGTTCTTCATGCTGACCTGGCTTTTCCACTTCCCAATGCAACCGGATGGTGTGCCGGGGTCTGCGCAAGCTTTCCAAGTACCCTGCAGGCTGACTTCTCCGCCAATCGCTGAGGATGTATTGCCCATCCAGTTTCAGTGTACTGGTCGGGTCGGAGCCAGACGAGTCCCCGGATGTCTCTCCCGTGAACCCCTTATTCTTTTCAGGGGCCGCACTTCGGAATTTGACGGACACCACAATAATCTTGGGCAAAACTTTGCAATGACTCCAGTTGTATCATGCTCATAACCAGGGCATTGCTGATCGTCAAAAGCTAACTTTAGGTAACTCGTGCGGCAATATCTCCATCAGCATGTCACCAACATCAGTCTTATCTTTACCTCCACTGTTCCTCCTCCCAGCTACCAGAAGCCTTAACCGCGTCCGCTTCTTGCAAGAATTGTTTGGAGAGTATTTGCCCCACGAGATAATACTCACAACAATCCTGGCAGGCAACAACAACATCACACACCACGTGTCCATGATGGCTTCTTCCCTGCACCACCCTGATTACCTCCGGAGACGAGTCAGAAGAAACCGCATATTGGGACGACTCGACTAGTCGTGAGTGATCTATCTGCTTCCACACCACTCTAGAAAACTCTACAGGTCGCATCACTCAGTTCTCTTCCTTTCGGCCTCGTCACACATACTTTTAGACATGAGATATGGGAGTTATGATACCACACCTTTACCGAAGATGATCTTCCATTTTGCCAAGACAACCAACCGGACCCCTTAAACTTTCGCGATCGGAATACTAGGTCAGTGGGGAATAATCGTGGGCTTTCCGAGGTGCGAGGCTCTCTGGCATACTATATCCAGCGTTGCTTACCCCGCGCCACGAACATGATCATCGCAAATTTTTATGACTCGAGTGTCTGCCATTGCGTGTGGTCTGAGCACTCTTCGGAAGCGCATGCACTGATTACGACTTGATCTACGTATGGCAGCTCGGGTTACACAATTATAGACCGCCAGAAGGAGAATTGGTGGATGAGAATAAGCACTAACAGCATATGATCCACTGCACTGATATCGGTTTCTTACGTTTGCTATCAATTCTGGAAAGCGGTGACATCAGGCGTTTGCTTGAAGAAAATACACAAAGCACTATCAGGGCCATGCTTCTACCTGCAGAAGCCCTCTAGCCTGAATTCTGTGCTACTAGACCGAGGTCAGCAGCAACGTTCCGCATACCTGAAGCCGACAGATAATAGGAAAATGGTTGATATGCTATTGCTTTTTCGATGGCATTCAATGTGCTTTACAATCCTACGACACAATTTCTGCGAAGTCACACAAAACCGTGTCATCTTGCTATGATAACAAGTCCTATCTCAAGCGCGCCAAGCAGCAGGGGCCAGACTTCAGATTCAACTGTCAACCGTTTCGTGCTGAGTCTGAAATTTGCTAGGCTTGCAGTTTGATCCACGTTAAGACTCGGTTCGAGTTGCACACGCCAAGAAGTAACAATCATGCATAATGTTCGTTAGCTTTGTCTTCAAGTTGGATAGGTCAGATCCATTACGTCGCGCCAATAGCGCTCCAATCACCACAACTCTTCCTTTTTGTTAGGACTCTATTAAATTATCTATTCGCCATTGGAACTGTTCAGTTAGTTACAGAATTATCAACTCATCGTGCGGCAGATATGGTATATACAAACGTGTCCCGGCAGATGCATATAGGACCCGCCGAATGGGACTCTCCGCCTACTGGCCAGAGCTACTGGGAAGCGGCCCGGAACTGCTCCGGGGTATCACCCTGGTTCTTTCCATCTCCAGCTTTGAAAGCCTCTAGCTCTTTTAGTGAGTGATAGACTCTGAGGAGATTGGGCACGAAGTCCAAATCCATTTTGTACATCAATGCCTGATCGACCGCGGGAACCAACACAACATCGGCCAGTGACACTTCATCGCCGAACGAAAACTTGCTGGATGCGGAGATCAGGGCTTCATACGCCTGGAAGCCGTCTGTGAATGCCTGCCTAACGAAGCTGACCTGATCCTCCACGTTATCCCGCACGGACCTGACACGCTTGGCAATCCGGGAATTGGTAGGCGCCTGAACATCGATCGCGATGATGTTGACTAGGTCGCGTACCTTGATGCGATCCTGCCAAGCTGAGACAGGTGGCAGCAGAGGGCTTTGGTTCGGGAATCTTTCCTCAAAGTACTCGAGGATTGTCATGGATTGTCTGATAATGGTCTTGGTGCCGTCGGGGTGATGCACAACCAAGGTCGGCACACTAGCACTTGGATTCAGTTCATCTTTGTATTTTGCGTCATGATGTCCTCTTGCGCTCAGATCGACATAATTATATTTGAGCGTGATGCCTTTGAGATGAGCTGTGATTATGATCCGCTGACAGCATGAGGAACACCAGAACGAGTACAGCTCAAAGGTATCTTGGTTTTGCATATTATCCGCCGATGGATTGAATCTTGTATATTCAAATGCGCTTGATGCCACTAATGTGATGAGGCAAGTCGACAAAGTGTAGGAAAGATGAATTCCAACGAAGCTGTCGTCACATACTTATAAAGAAACGTCGCTAATGTTGACAGATGTCCTCAGCAGAATAAGAATTCCTACCAAGAGGGCCTAACCGAAATTACCATGAGCCAGGAAGAGCGTGCGTAAGCCCTAGGCTGGCTAGGCCTACGGTAGCCCGACGGCTGTCTGGTGATGACTAGCGTCTTGCTTATCGCGTAGTCAACACGAAATGTTTAGATGCTACCTATACTCAAACGATGAAATACCACCCATTATGGGTTGTCTGGAGTTCCGACTATCAGAAACCCAACTGGTAAGCCAGATAGCTGATCTAAAGTGCTCTATGCGATCTTACATGTGCCGAAGCCTATTTGTTTTACAGATAGCGTTTCTTAATACGACAGAATATGTATACCAAAGGCGGCCAGGCCAGCCAAGGATCCAAAGCCCCTTAAGCTTTCTATCTGACACGCGGGAGGCATCCTGCTGACTAGCACGTGGCTCAAACAATCTGCAAGTGTCATCATCGCGAGGCACTATGCTTGTGTTTATTGCGTTTGCAATCTGTGCCTGTCATTTAATCTCTGCCTATATCCCGTATTCGCACGATGGAATGTACTATTATCCTTCATTAGTCCTATAGCTATCTAAAGCGCATAACGCCATTACCTACCAACAGGAGAGCTTCTTTCAGTGGTGATGAGGCGCGACATATTGATGCGCTATCTAGACAAGAGACCAATAGCTATAGTAGAAGAGTACTAACAAATTTCTGAATGTTATAATGACTTTCAATAGCTTGACATGATCAATCACCACTCTACGCCGCGTAATGTGATTGGTCCGATAACAGATATAGGTCACTGAATTGCACAAACTCCTCAGCGCTTAGCTGGAAAATGGCTCCTGTATAAAACCAATATCACCTTACTCATTACTTCTATTCTATCCCCATTACCACAGAGCCAATGGACAACCAAACACACATACATCCAACATCCCCAGCTCCGCCACTTCCCATCCTCGAAGCCCAATGCATAGACTACGACGACACCTTATGTGACAAACGCGACAGGACTTTCGCGCCCTGGAGACACAAAGCTTTTTCGAAACAGACGTTCTCCGAGAAATAGGCCGATTCATTGACAAGCACAGAGGAGGAGTCCCCGAAGAGCTTTTCGCTCCCAAACGAGGATCATTCAATGCCTGGTTACGATTGCTTTTTTGAAAATTGAGGCTCTGCCGTCATTCGATTCCCATGCCCGGGTGCTCCCATGTTCCCCGAGGAAAGGGTTCAGCGCGAAGTGGCAGTTGTGCAGTCCTTGGAATATTTTACCAGTCTACCTATACCCCACATCCTTCACTATGGCAAGATCGAGGAAAGCCCAAAGGGTTTAGGACCTTTTATCATAATGGAGCATATTAGCAACGAAGGCGACTTCAATGATACCCTCTATGTACCGGGCCGGTCACGCGATGAGAGACCGATGCTAGACCCGAACGTCTCGCAAGAGAGACTTGAATGTGTTTATGGTCAGATGGTAGATATCATGTTGCAGGTATCTCGAAGCATTCTTTTGCCGAGATAGACTGCATCGGTAAAGCTAATGAGGATGATGAAATCGATGATACGTGGGTAGTCAAGCATCGTCCGCTTACCTTTAAACGAGCTCGTTCAGTTGTGTGGAGTCTCTCCAGACTTACTTCACCAAAGCACGTTCAAAACAGCCTCGTCCTACTATCAAGCACTAGCTGAGATGCACATGATCCACTTTACTTCCCAACGAAACGACGCGATCGACTCCGCGGAAGATTGTCGAACCAAGTACATCGCACGTTGTCTGTTTCGCAAGATCACTCGCGAAATTCAGCTGTGCAATGACAACGCTGGTCCTGTCAAATTGTTCTGCGATGACCTCAGACCTGGAAACGGTCTGTCAAATGCCCAACATCAAATGAACGGCGTGGTGGACTGGGAGTTCACCTACGCAGCCCCCACAGGGTTTGCTTATAGCCCGCCATTCTGGTTACTACTCTGGAAACAGTGCTTAGATGATTGGACAGCAAGATATGAGAAGGTGCTGCCGGTGTTTTTGAAAGTGTTGAAGAACAAAGACCAAGGAGCAATTGACCGAGGCATCATGAAAGAGAGCGATCGACTGTCAGGATATATGCTGAGAAGTTGGGAAAGTGGTGACTTCTGGCTTAATTACGCTGCTAGAAAGAGCTGGGCATTCGATATGATATACTGGGCTAAGATCGATCGGAGGTACTTTGGGGATGGCAAATTAAGCGATCGGGTCAAGCTCTTGACTCCTGATGGGAGGGCGGAGATGGAAGGGTTTGTGTAGATGAAGTTGAAGGCTGAGGAGGAGGGTGGTCTACCTGATTAAGACAAGGCTTTTTTACCACACAATTCAGCATCATTCAAGACCAATGGGTACCATGAAATTGTTGAATGTTCTGGCCATGAGAGGCTACTTACCTCCATTCCTAAGAATAAGAGTCGGGTTGTATAGTCAGAATTATAAGCCAGGGAACAGAAATGACCTGATTCCAACAAACACAAGTCAGCATCATGCAACCAATCCGAAAATAAAATAATGAAAACATTTGAAGTAATTCTTTCCCCCTATTTCCTATCATGCAGGCTCTGCTTTCATAATGTCAAACAATGTGAGAGTCTTAGTACACGAGCCACCCCTTAACCTGTTACCTCACGTCTAAGCAGCAACTGACCTCCCACACTAGATAGAATGCCATTACTATAGTGCGAGGATTACGTCTCTTATTCTTGGCTTTCTCTCACACAATAAACCAGAATCCAAAGGCGAATAAACCAAGGCCGATAACGGCGCCAATGACAAGTTTATATCGAGTTCGGAGATCTCCTGAGCTATTCCTTCCGCCAAAGCCCCTAGGTCGTTTTCAGAGACACTAGTTTCGTGGATAATAGCCAGTAATATGGCCTTCGCCGGTCCTAGGGGGCCATAACAGGTTTTGATGGTGTGGCGCCTTCTTTCAGGTACCGCCTTATAGCGCGGTTGGCGCCTATATTGAGGAGCTAGGCTGGCCATAGTCTGAGCGGCTGAGAGCTGTTCATTTATTTCTACTAGTTTTGCTTAGCTGTATCAACCCTACAGGGATATTGACTGTTTTGGCCACCTGAAGCTGAATGGCTTGACCTTGAAGATTGGACGAGGAGTTGACGACTAATGACATTTCCGAATAGATTAAGGCCTCTCTACGTGTAGGCCACATCCACCTTACGGTTTCTACTCGAATATTGTTCAGCGGCAATGGAAACTAAGAGCCATGGTAATGATCGTGTAGCTCCACTGTGCCAACAGTGGACTGACTGCATCTGCGATCTGGGCGGACATGGCCGTCTGAGCGGTATAGTTCTGTTGAGGTTAGTGCGAAGTATAGCATGCCAGAATGCTTGCCACGTGCATACAGGAGATTTTTCTCAGGACTACTGCTAGAGAGTCCTCTCGGAAATTATGCTTTGCCCTCTTCCTGCTTCTGCTTGTCCGATCTCTGGAAGCGCAGATTTCATTTCACAGACCATGACTCAACCCCGTTACGTAGCATCCCAGCTCGTATATGTCCAGCCCAAAAGATCTTCTCTGGACTACTAGTTGAAGCGTCTACTTTTACGTATGCCTTCCACAGAATCCCAATTCCACCAGTCGATGCCCAGCATCAGCTAACGGCGGAAAAGCTCTTCCAACCCGCCAAGGACATGCCAAGAGCGCATTCCTACGCACAACGTGATCCACACCTCGCTTACTTCTTGGCTGTAGGTCACGAGTGAGTCATGCGTTATCAATCTCCGGAGGTGAGAGGAAAACATGAATATTCCCATGTGGGGATTAACCCATGGCAGAGATTTAGGCAGCCATTTAGTAAGTTCCGCTGGGGAGGAGGTATTTTCTGGAGTAGGAGAAAGAGGTTATTAGCGCCCCCGGCCTAAATGGTATCCAAATTTGGCATGGTTCGAGGGAACTCCTGGGTGGATTTGGTGCCGGGGATTTCACGCAGTGTGTGTTTCGATCTGGTATTGTGCGATACGAAATCAGATAAGATACGGCGAATAAGGTTTAGTGGCACCGCCAAGTATATTTCGGGCTTGACTAGGCTTGTTTTGGAACCTTTCCCTTACCGGGCCCCCCCTCGTTAAAAACAGGCTGGAAGGGTTGGGTTTTTTTATGGTGCGGCTGGTGCGGTTTTGCTCTTGCGGGAAAAGGCCGGGTTTTTTCCGATGGAGAGGGGAGGGGAGGAGCTGGCCCATATTCACCCCTGGCTTATGTGGTGGTGATGATGATGATGATCATGTCCTCTCATGGGATTCTTGCAATCTTCTTGCATGGATGACATGCATTACCGAGATTGAAGGCCAACTTATCTTCCTTGGTCTCTTCTTTTCTGCCCTCAAAATCCAGCTTGAATTCTTATCCATCTTATCTTCCATCATCAGTGCCATGTCCGTGGGTCTCGATGTTATCACGGCCCGCTTGTCACCGTCACTAGGAACCATAACAAGATCATTGCGTTGGAAATCGGGTCCTTTCGGGCCCCGCGGCAAAACAGCAGACCACCAGCAGTCGCGGAACAGTGGGGGCTAGAAGGCGTCATGGTGCAATGAGGAGCCAGGAAACAAATTAGGGGAGGAGTGTCTAAGTGGAGCAGGGACACCAGACCCTTACACCAGCATTAGGAGGCTACTACAACATACTAAATGAAATCATCGTGAGCTCGATTCAATGATCTAGATGTATGTAAATGTGGCAAAACCAACGATTTTTGCAGACAAACTTTTGGGGAAGATTCTCGTGATGGAACCACACTGACACAAGCTGCGAGAATTATCTGATCCGAAGTGGAACGGGGTGTCGCCAGCTTGCCAAGAGGACAAGACTGCCTAGAGTTCCACTACCACTGTAAGCCTGAACCAGCACCCACAGCCAGCGCAAATTCCTTTTCGCGTTGGTCGCTCAGGAAATTGGAGTCTGGGAAAGCTTTGGGATGGTGTGGGACGTGCGTGGGAGGCGAAGAATTCATCGTCCCATGTTAAGCCTTTATAACATGGCGCATATCCTTCCCTCGATGCCGATCAGTTCTTGAAACTTTCTCCTACCACTGATGATATAGGCGCTTTGGGCATATCGCTGTGCTTTTCCCTTCCAAAATGGCCACTGACAAGCCTCCCACCACTACCGGGGTCAGTGAGGATCCGATCTCTTTGGATCCCGATACTCCTCAGCAGCCTGTCGAGGATGATCAGGATAAGCAGGATGGTGTTCGCGTCGCTGAAGCAGTTACTGCTTCTTGGTCGAAGAAATCTCTGATCATTACTTATGCCTCGTGAGTGGCTTGATTTGTGTTCCTTCCGAGCGACTGCTGAACAGTGTATAGCATGTGGCTTTTGTACTTCGTCAACGGATTGAACAGCAGCTTGACCGCGAACCTTTCCGCGTATATCACCAGTGACTTCTCGGAGCACTCGTTGCTCACTGTCATCACTGTCATTACCAGTGTCATGGGTGCTGCTTGTGTCATGCCTATTGCCAAGGTGCTGAACTTGTGGGATCGTACTCTGGGTGTCTGCATCATGGTGTTGATTGCTATCATGGGCTTGATTATGATGGCTGGCTGTAACAACATTGCCACGTACTGTGCTGCTCAGGTGAGTTCTACCCTCTGTGTACACGAGATTGCTCTCTTAATGGGTATGCCCAATGATACTAACCACCCGACACTACCAGGCATTCTACACTGTGGGTTTCACCGGTGTTATCTTCTGTGTCGATGTGATGACCTCCGATACATCCTCGCTCCGCAATCGAGGTATCGCCTATGCCTTCACCTCCTCACCCTACATTATCACTGCCTTTGCTGGCTCTCCCCTCTCCAACCAATTCCACGAGACCAACTGGCGCTGGGCCTACGGAACCATTTGCATCATCCTCCCGATCGTCGCAATGCCTCTAGTCATAACCTGGGAACTGGCGAAGCGCAAGGCAGACAAGGAGGGACGCCTGGAATACAAGCCGCGAAGCACTCGCACCTGGTGGCAGAGCACCTGGTTCTACATCATCGAGTTTGACAGTAAGCCTTCTCCCCAAAACTTCCCTACTACCTCGATCCCCCCCACTAACATATTCGTCCCAACCAGTCATCGGCATCTTCTTCATGATCGGCGGACTCATCCTCTTCCTCACCTCATTCAACATCGCCGGCAATACCGAGGGCGAATGGAAATCCGCCAAGATCATCGCAATGATGGTTGTCGGCTTCTTCGTCCTCGTCGGTTTCGTCGCCTACGAACGCTGGGGTGCCCCCAAGCCCTTCATTCCCTACCACCTCATCGCCAACCGCACCGTCATCGGCGCCTGCCTCCTGGATATTACCTACCAAGTCTCCTACTACTGCTGGGCCAGCTACTTCACCTCCTTCCTGCAAGTAGTCTACAACACCAGCCTCACCCAAGCCGGATACATCTCCGCCATCTTCGACCTCATGGACCCCATCTGGCTGATCGGCTGCGGATACCTGATCCGCGTCACCGGCCGCTTCAAGTGGCTGCTCATGTGGGCTGTCCCGCTCTACCTCCTGGCCAGCGGCCTGATGATCTACTTCCGCCAGCCCGGCTTCAACATCGGATACATGTGCATGTGCCAGATCTTCCTGGCTGTTGGCGGTGGTACCTTGATTCTCATTGAGCAGGTTGCTGTCCTGGCGGCGTCTAGACATGAAGACTACGCTGCTATGCTGGCGTTGCTGAGCACCTTCGGTAACCTTGGTGGTGCTGTCGGTGCTAGTGTCTCTGGTGCTATTTGGACTAATACCCTTCCTCAGAAGCTGAGGGAGCTGTTGCCCGCTGAGACGAAGGATCAGTGGGAGGAGATTTATGAGTCGTTGGACGTGCAATTGAGTTATCCGGTTGGGTCGGAGACCAGAATTGCGATTCAGAACGCTTATGCTTGGAGTCAGCGGAACATGATGATTGCGGGTACGGCGGTCATGGCGTTGTCGATTGCGTGGGTGTTGATGATGAAGAATATTAAGATTAAGGATAATAAGGATGTGAGGCAGGTCCTGTTCTAGACGGGTTCAATGGTAAAAAGGGGGTTTTGTATATAATGTGTTTGGGGTCAGGTATTTGCTTTCTTGTGACCTGTGATGTTAATCTTTTGAGTTGTTATCGCTATAATTGAGGCATGCATAGTTAGTACTTATTAATTCACGAGCTTGACTGGGTTGATAGAAGATATTCTTTCCCTTACAGAAACTAAACATTTAGTCTTTATACTTGCTTCTTGTTCATTTACTTTGCATCACGCATTGCAACACCCACACCATCAGGCACCGACTTCCGCATATTGGCTGCATTCAATCTTCATGGAACATTAGATAGGTTGTGCTTCGCGCCATTCGGAGCAACCCTACTATCCCTGGTGACACCCCGACACTTCGATCCCGCCAATACATTATTGATACCACTCGCATTGCGGAATACAATTGACCCGCGAATATGCTGTAAAATCCCTCAAAGTAATATCCGATATGGTCACCCCGGAGCAGCCATAAGTCGAGAAGCAGAAGTCTGTACACTCAGTGCCTTTGACGGTTAGAATTAATTCAATCAAAGAAAGACATGTAGATGCGGATATTGAGGTACTAGCAGCCCAAGTGGGCGGAATTTATGGCATGATGGGGGAGAGGAGGTCTCAAGTATGCGATTGACTAGAAAATATATCGACTTCCTGTTCGTAAATGGAGTCCAAACAAGCTGAATGTGAAGAGTAGGCTTTGTACTCGGAATCGCATGAGTGCTTCTGACAAGTCTGAGCCTTAGCCTCAGGAATGATAGATCTTGTCTATAAGCAGTAGGATGTAGAAATGCTGGAATTTGCTGCCTGACTTATTCGGTTCGTGTCTCATCTACTTGTAGAGAGCCATATGGCTCACGATGTTGTAATGGGAAGAGGGGTTATTGCTATATATATATATATATATGCCGAGTCGAGTGCTATGCAGTACTATCCCAATGAGTACAACCGCCTTCAAAGTACTCTTGCCTTGGCGTTTGTGAGGGTTCAGAGACCCCCACAGTTTTAAGCAGACAATTTGACAGAGAATTACTCCAACCACAGTCAGAATCTGAAGAGAACCCCGGTCAATAACCGCACCATAGCGCATCTTCTTACCCACATTTTCATCACTTATCCTCTAAGGGGCCTGGCATAGCTGTTGTTGCGAATAACAGCGAGACATATTTGTCTGTATCAGGGCATCGTGATTGGCCCTCAACCCCTGCCAATGACCGATAACGTTCCAGAAAATGAAGGGAAGCAACAGGCAGGGTCACACCGAGGGTTCCAGCAGCTGGCGCTCAGCAAGGCGGAATCAGATCGACATCGTATTCGCTCTCAATAAGCACGTAAAATGGGGCTAGATCGAATGCTCAGCCTTACGATCAGCTGGGCATTCTCCTTGCAGATGAGCCTGGGAATGGATTTGCGCCTCTGGCACATTCTCGTATGCTACCGCCAGATAGTACCCTCGAAGTGAAAATGATGCTACAATCATCTCTACAAGTCATAGTTCTCTACCGCTACGACGGATGTTAACTTCACTGACGGCTTCATAGACAGTGCTACGTACTGCTTGGCCCCCACCTTGGCATCAGCAGACACAAGGACATAGCCGACCGGAAAAAGGCCCTTGTTGAGTAGCTTGATCCCTTATACGAGCAGTCATTCCACGAGAAGTATTCTCACCAGTACGGCATCAGGGGCTATCCCGAGTGGTGCCCGGACTGGTCTTTGGTTTTTGGTGGTATTTCCATGCAGGTACTCCATAAATTAATGCTGAATAGAATTTTTTCTTTTCCATATATCGCAATGCCCTGTTTGGAGAGCTCTTCATAATATCGGTCGGAAGGGTGACGCGGCAACCCCTATAGGAGCATATGTACCTCATCGAAACGGACATGCTAGTATTAGCTCACACACCGATGCCTCTAGAACTTACCGGAAAAGCGGACATTTGAGCGAAGCAAGCAATCGCAGCCGGGGCCAGAGTGTTCATATACGTATGGCGCGAAGTTGCAGCTCAAAAATGCGCAACGATTGAGTTTAATTGCGGCTGCAAGGGCACAATGGTCCCTTGGTTCCTGCACCGGACTAGAGAGGACTAGCGGGATAGGCCGGAGTTTGGCGAAGCGGTTGAGAGGGAAATGCGAGAGTCATTGGGGCCACCAAGTGGATGGTGAGTGGATGCAGCGTTCGCTAGTCAGGAACGAACCAGTGGAGTTTGTCTCTCTTTCTGCCGGCTCTCCTTTCCGAATCCGCTGCCATCCCTCCCATCAGGGGGTCTTTCACCGTCAGCTTCAGCACTGGCTACGGGATACCAACCCAGACTATCGACCGCTAAATTCCGAATCACTCAAGTTTCAGATGGTCTCAAAACTAGAATTCCCAAGCCAGGGGGCAGTGAGGAGAAACGGAAGCGTGGTGAGTGTGTGAAATGAAAGACACAAAGGCATGGCATCCTGTGGTGACAAACCACGGCTCCCAAGAGCCACAGCCGAACGGTTGTGGAGGAAGAAATCTTCAGGCGACTCCAGCTGACCACCCACTAGAATTCAGGAACCGAAGCCAATCCAGTGTGCTGCTCCTCACGCCGCTACCAGTTAGTGAGTTCACTAGAGCAGACCGTATCCTCGGCCAAGCACCGCACACTGGCGATCGTCGCTTGAAAAGGAGTCAGGCACACACCGACCGGGCCTCAGCCAGGCGCCGCCAGCGCAACAATGGATGCGCTGGCGAGTAACGTGGCCGGGTGATTTGTTTACCGACTGACGGCGTGTCGACGTGAACAATGCCCCCCGTCACATTCTCAATGTGCCCCAGGCCAATAGGCAGGCGAGATGTGCCCCTTGCGACTCGTCAAGCAGTTTTTCCGGGGCAGCGCTCGTGAGGGTTCGAGTTTGACTGGTTGGGTCCAAACGGACCCTCTGGCACTCTGGGGCTCATATTTAGTCCACCCCCCCTCGTCCTCCTTTTTCCCCCTTCGGCGCGTCTTCAGACATCGCATCGTTTCACAATCCTTTGACTCGAGCAGCGCTCCCCACGTTCTTTTACCCTCGCTAGCTTTTGCTCTTCTCGACGCTCACTCTTTTGCGTCTTCTTCGTCACTCGTTTGATCTACTCGCGCAGTCTCTGCCAGAGCCTTTTTGCGACAACGTACATATCCACAGCCCGAAAATCTTTCAGTTGAACAAATCGGAATTACCGGCAACTCATCGCAATGAAGTTCAGCACTCTCGCCTCCTCTGTCCTGTGCCTGATGGCCTCCCAGCTTGTCGCTGCGGAAACCGACACCACCAGTACTTCGACGGTGACCAACTATGTCACCGCGACGCTGGTCCACGTCGACACCGTGACCTCTCCTAGCAGCGTGGCGCCTTCGACTTCCTCGGTGTTCGTCACTCCGAGCAGCCACGCGGTCTCGAGCAGCCGGGTCGCCAGCAGCTCTGCCGCCGCCAGCTCCTCTGCGCCTGCCTCCTCGTCGTTCGCCTCCGTCACCGTGACTTCCAGCATCCCCGCCGGCACCTCGGTTGCTGCTGCTACTTCCCCTGCTGTTGGCACTTCCGGAGCCGACGGCATGGTCGCCAAGATGCCTGCTGTTCTGGTCGCAGGATCTATGGCGCTGATCCTGGGCGCGCTCTAAGTCAATCCAGCGCTGCCGGCTTTGTCGCATACTCTTCACGCGCTGGAACCTTGAGAGGAATGGTCTTCGACCATGACTCGATTTTCAAACATTTTTATTCTCTGCTTCGACCGCCTATATTGATTCTCCACGGGACATTGTGATCGACTGTGCTCGGGACAATGGGCCTATCTACTACGGATACTTTCTTGATTATACCCCTTATGATGTTTCGGATTTGACGAGTTGATGGCTTGACTGCTGGTGGAATACCGCAGTTGGGATGGACTTTATTTCTACACCTTTTTTACTTTTTGACTTCGCTTCGGGGTTCGGCCGTGATGGAAGCTGTGCATAGTGTTTGTATAGGGTCGACCCAATCAATTGCGTGAACCGATGTGCCTTATGCTGGTAGTATGTAGATAATCGATAATATTTATTGAGTTGAGCTGGCAGGCTTCATAAGCGTTTCTTTGTAAATGTACCTGTTTTTTGCGCTTTCAAGAGTGGTACCTTTGATGCGATTGCCCCTGAAAGAGGCAGCCGCAGCCAGTCTAGTCCAATTCAAGACTTCTCAACATTGATCTAGATTTAGGATTCAACGAGAGAAAGATCTACATACAATAATTGAATGAGATTGCATGAAGAGCAAATAATTTAATCGAGCAGATCCGGGCCTCCCGGGTAGCTATCAATCAATATCAATCAATCAATCAATCAGTCAATCAGTCAATCAGTTCACCGTCAAGTTATCAAGCGGAGACCGACCGCCCCGCTCCACCGCGACGCGTCTCGTAAACAACTTTAGTCTCAGCACCCAACATCAATCAGAATCCAGCTTTCCCTCTGGACCTCGAGTTTCCCCATCCTTCCGGAACTCTTCCATCCATCCCATCCGACGATCGATCGACATTCCACCGGACGTCATGATCCGAGTGAGGTGATCCAGCCCAAAGCCACTGAGCGCATCAATCGCATTCATCATTCATTCATTTCCCCCTCCTTACTTCCTTTGCATCGCATCGCATCGCATCGCATCGCGTCACACGAGCTATTCCAACCAAGAAATACATACCACTACATCATATTATTGCACAGCAGTGGCAAATAATAAACTATGGACCACGAAATCCCCCTCCCCCCACCACCGCGCATCCGCCATCGCGACCCCTCCAACAACAATAACAACAATAGTAATAACAACAATAATGACACCCGTCACGCGACCCGCCATGCTCACCACCACCGTCTCCCCTCGCGCTTCATTGACGACCGCTCCAGTCAACCTTCCAGTGACCCGGCACTCTTCTCCAGCGATGACATCCCCGCCTCGGGTCTAGAAAACTACAATAATGCGCCTGTCAGTCGGAAGCGCCGGTACCGCGGCACCTGGTGGGGAGAGATGGTGAAGGACAAGGACGCGAAGCGCAAGCGGGCGGATTTCAAGGAGAAGCGGTTGGTGGATAGTGGTGTGTGGATGGGGAGTGATGATTATGATTCTGGTCCGGGATCAGGGTTCTTGCCTTCTGATGCGGATTTGGGAGAGGATTGGTTGAATTCGCATGCGAATGGAGGTACAAAGACGGTGATGCCGCAGAACCAGACTCAACAACAAGGATTCAGGAAAGTCGAAGAAGAACCGCGCGAGCATCAAGTCGCACGGGGGATCGTGAACGATTGTCTCGAGAGAGGAGAGGATAGTGTTGACCTGAGGTATATCCCCCCCCTACACGTCCACCTCCTCTTATCATGTTAGAACCAAACATCTAACCCTATACCCATTAGTGGCCTCACACTCCGCCTCATCCCCCATAACCTCCTCCACCCCCTCCAACACCTCACCAAGCTCCCCACCATCAAAGAGCCCCCCATCAGCGAAGACGTCTATACCTCCCTGCAACCCTTCCTCCGCCTCTTCCTCGCCGGCAACGCCCTAACCCAAGTCCCCGGTCAAATCTTCGACCTCGACTCCCTCCGCGTCCTCAGTCTCCGCTACAACAAACTCACCTCCATCCCCGCAGCCATCCGCCGCCTCACTCTCCTCCAGGAACTCAACCTCTCCGTGAACCGTCTCCCCACTCTCCCCTGGGAACTCCTCTTCCTGATCCGCAAAGGCGACCTCAAACACCTCACCGTCCGCCCTAACCCCCTCCTCCAAATCGAAGACCAACCCATCGCCAAATGGCACGTCCCCAGCGACGACGACGAAGAAGAAGAAGAAGAAGAAGAAGAAGAAGAAGAAGAAACCCAACAGTTACCCTGCCTGAAATCAATCACCTACGACGGCCCACCACCCGAGGAAGCATGGGCACCCATCCACGTCGCCACGGGCCCAATCACATATTACAACGCCGAAGGCATCCCAATCCCAGTCCCTACTACTGAACAAACCCCCACAATAAATCAAACCTCCCGCGTGCCCTCCCTCCGCGAAATCTCCCTCCTATCATTCACCCGCTCAACATATCCGGACCTGATCACTGACGAAGAAATGGAGAATTTCCCGGCCCTAATGACCCGCTTACTCCGACAAGCGAAGGAAGTTCGTAGCGCGGGAGGGCGGAATTGTTCCTTGTGTCATCGGGGATTCGTCCTCGCGCGGACGGAGTGGATCGAGTGGTGGGATGTGAGTACGTATGAGAATGGGTTGAAGGGGCCGAGAGCGTCTGGGGAGGTGTTGAGGCCGTTGCCGTTTAGGAGGGTTGGGTGTAGTTGGGGGTGTGTGCCGGATTTGATGTCGTGATGGGGGGGAAGTATGTATAGTTAGTTAGTTAATAGTTACTGAAGTTGTTGTGTGTGTGGGTATGTATGGATGGATGGATGGGATAGATGTAAATGATCATGTTTTTGTTAGGGGTGTACGTTTTAAGTAGTAGTCTGGTTTTGTTTGGAAAGAGGAATGGGGGATGTGTATGGTTAGGAAGGATGTCATCTACTTGGATAGCGGTGATATCGAAACATTCCTGTGGTATCAGAACAACGCAGCTATAGAGTGCTGTCATAAAGATGCAGTTTGTCTCGAATACTTGCAACTCATGTTCAATCCATACGTCCTAAGCATCGATGGGAAAGCCCTCCCACTGACTTATGGTCTAGTAATATTACAAGCGAGTGCAGAACTGAAACTGAACCTGTTCCTGCCAATGTCGCTACGAATTCCATAAAATCCATCAAACGCCAACCAAGCAAGGACGGTGTCAAAAACATCGCTAATGCTGCTCACAAAAGGAAACGCTGCAAAGACAGATATTACCCCCACCTCCACTAACACATACATCCAATGAAACCAGGGGCGGTTAATAATATAAAGCACAACAACGCAGTTCACCGGCTGCCGTCCGTCTGCGCCTGATGCCAGATCGTATCGCCACTAAGAGCAGAGTAGCTCAGTGCGGCAAAGTTCCTCCAACTCGGCGGTGCCGAGGATGCTTGTCCCTCGAGAAGACCTGCTTCAGAGCCAGCATGCCGCTCGAGATCCGAGGTCTCGTCTTCGCTCACTCCGCTAATCGGCACCGGCGCTGAGGATGAACTATGCTGAGAATCTGCATCAGGGTGGTATTCTTCCTCGTTCATCGGCTCTGCCGACTCGTGAGCCTCCGCCGCTTTGTTCTGCGACATTGACCGAACCACGTCGCCTTTACAGATGGGACAAGTTCGCCGGCGGGTTGTCAGCCAAGGCGTGCTGCAAAGAGCGTTAGTACGAGCATGATTGACAACGGACTCAAGGATCGTTACTCACATGCACTCCGCGTGGAACTCGTGGCCGCAGGGCAAACTCATCACCCTGCTCTGCCCATCCACATATTCCTCCAGGCACACAACGCATTCCACTTGCCGGCCGGTGTATTTCCGGCGCCACAGAGTGGATCCCGATTTGCCCTTCCTTGATGACGACATTCTGGATGCACTCGCATTCGAGACATGTGACTCTCGCTGCGACCGAGACAGCTGGGCTCCTGAACGGCTCTTCGCACCCAACAATGGCGAGGTTGGCGACACTGGGCCAGGGCTAACAGATCGTGGCGAGCTTGTTTCCGAGGAAGAGGTCGACCTCGCAATAGTATGATAAGTTCGCACTGGGAGGCGATCGACGAGGGACTTTGGAGCGCGCCACCGTCTGCGCCGGATACGAGACCGCAGCAACAACAGGACGTAGACAACGGTCAGCGTGAGCAACGGGCTGACAACCAGAACGAGGAGGGTATCGAAGAAAGGACTGGTCGACATGCTCGTGGGCGTGAGAGTGACCCACAAGCCGTCGTGTTCAGCCGCATTCACACCCTGGCCGTTCTGAGTTGTCGCATCATGCAGTTTCTGGTCCATGGGAGTGATTGGCCCATGGGCGCTAGAACTTGGGCTGGGACCTGGTTTGTCCGTGGCCCAGAAGAAATGCCTGGCAAACCAACCGTTGCGCTGGGAAGAGGATCCTGGTTTCACATCATACACGGACTTGTGGCCGGAGTACTCCATCTTCGACTCTTTTTCAACGCTAGACTTCTCGACCGTGCGATACTCGCCACTTCCAGGGGTGATGCTGCCACCCTTCAAGGTCGCGGGAGTGGGGTGCGAGCCCTTGACGCCGGTATGCACCTTATTCCCGGCGGCGTCGGTGGTACTGGTAGGAGATGGAAGGATGCTGCCCTTCGGAACTACTAGGTCCGGATCTCTCCAGTCCTGCACACCAATGACAAATCCATCACCGTCTGTACTGCTCGACGAGGTACCTGACTTTTTGAGGTCTTCGGCAACACCATCGGTTTTCGTTCGGGAAGTCTTTCGCTCGGTCTCGTCCTGTGATGGCTCCTGTTCGTCCCAGCGATCTAATAGAATCCAATTGATGTTTCCGCTGCTTGGCGGGCGACGGCTGTCCTCCGGTGGATACCAGACGGGTCCCCCATGGTTGCTGAGACCAAACAATGACAGAAGAGCGTGGAAGAGCCCAGACTTCTGCTTTGGGGGCACCGCACTATCATGAACTACTGCTTTGTGACTTGAAGTTGGCGACGCGGTGGCAGAGGTAGTCGCCGTAGCGTCCATGCGTTGTTTCCCGGCACTGCCGTGAGTGAAGATTTTAGTGTGTGTTCCTGATCCATCGTCTGCGGCCGAGTCCTCCCCTTGCGGGGGGACTAAGGATGACAGCAGATGTGCCGTAGTATGAGATGTGAAGAGGGCGGGGATCGTCACGTTGGATGTATCACCCCGTGCATACATCGTGACGAGGCTGCCTCCTCGGGTGTCATCCCCCACAATCAAAGCAATTCCTCCACGCCGCTGGACCCACTTGACCTTCTCCAAGAAGCCGCAGCCGCCCCTACTCAGAAGGACGACTTTGCCGTCGATCTCGGCGCTTTCTTGCAAAGACTGGATGTCAGCATGGGCAGCTTGTCGGTTCGAAGAGGGTTCCCCGTGCTTGTCCATGGCGCCTGAGTCCGACACTTCTGACTCGGGCAGCGGGTGGTGGAGATGGTCATCCGTGCCGTCATTTGTCACCGGGGGTGCTACTTTGGTACCAGAGTCATGCTGCAGGTCGATATCCGGTTGGGGAATCGCTTGGCGATGGCTTTGTGGCACGGTCGGCTCGTTTCCAGGAGTAGACCCCGACTTCCCAGTTGTAGTATCTGCACCTCCGCCTGACTTCGGACCATCTCCCTCGCCCCAACCCGGGATATCGGAGCATCCTAGCTCTCCTTCCGCTCCAGCGGTTGTTCGTTCCCCAAAGCCACTGCCAATCCAGAGTTGCCCGCTAAGTCCCTTATCCGGCAGCAGAGGGCCAAACGCAGCAGGTCGGGCCAGGAAAAAGGTGGAGTTGTCATCGGTGAGGCTGATGATGGCGGACGGCGGGAACAGGGATGAGGGGATGTTGAAGGAGAAGAGGGCGTGTAGACCCGTCGCTCGACCAGCGAGTGAATCGGGGGTGGACACCCTAGGCGAGGAGGTTAAAGCAGAAAAGAAGGTGAGGATGATGGGGAGAAAGATGAGGCAGAAGACGACAGCAATCAAACGTGGTGGTCGCATAGTTGAGAGGGTGTGTTGGAATATGCAATAGAACAGATATTGCTTGGCCGAGGGGGGGCGGGAAGGAAAGAAGCCCAGGAAGATCAACGCTCAGGGCCAGCGGGTTTCGTGCAGGAAGGCGATGTTCTTAGGACCAATCAGACGGTCGATGAATCGCAACAGAACGGACACTCATCGAGAGCGCACGGGAAGGGAGAAGGAGGGTAGGCGCGAAGGAACAAGATGATAAGGAGAGTGAGTAAGTAGTAGAGTAGTTAAGGAAGTCGCCGTGGTCAAGCAATGACGGGCTGGTACTTTAGAAGCCAACCAGACAAGGATGACGGGGAGAGAAGAGGAATAGGGACATGGACGGTAGTAGGGTGGTAAGTAGGGAGAAGGGGATGGAAATGGGGATGGGGATGGGAATGGGATGGATGGGACGATGTGGAGGAGGAAGAAAGGCAAAAAGAATGATCAACAACTTGTGAGCGAGTCGCCGGACACGCAAGCACAGCCTCTTTTCTCTGTCCCCTCCGTGTCTCTCCCTCAGTAAGTATTAGTTAGTTAGTTAGTAGTTTCCCTGTCAGACAGTCTCTGGCTTGGGGGGCAGTTAGTCACGGGATTGATTCCCTGCCTGAGGGAGGGGAGTTCCCTTAACTAATTCATTAGTGGCTTCCTCAGGTTTTGTCAGGCAACCGCCATACCTTTTCACCCTGAACTTATCTTCGTCCTACAGAGAACTACGTCACAGACCCTGCGCCCGTGCATTTTGGGCTGGGCTGCCCAATTCCATCAGCAGTTCTACAATTTAACATTTGACTTAAAAATTAGATAGTCTATGATTCGTGACTCTTTCCCTTTCACGAGACCCTTTTTGTTATTATTATTATTGTATTATTGTATTTCTATATGGTGTGGGGGCATGGCAGCATCTTTCATTTGTGTCACACCCTCCTCCCATTCTTTTACCATACAATACTGAATACTATTTCCTCAATTTAATTTGAATCCACAGTGTTCTATTCTTCCCCCCGCAGATCAATGAAAACTGCCTTCCCGTCATTCCCCACACCTGCGCAATATTCACTGTCGACTTCGACTTTAGTGCTTTTTCTCATGGGTACACAGTAAAGCGATCGACAACGCAGGGGGTCCGTTTCATGTACCCAGGAATGTGTATTTGTACAAAGATGTCGAGTCAATGGGGGACCCCCACCTAACCACTCTGTAAAACCAGTGCTAACACGGTCTATCTGTCTACTAACTAACTATATTATTTACAAGTGCCATTCTTGTCGCTTACATGATCATCATCCACTTGATGAGCCATCACTAACTATAAATCACGTGCTCCAAAGAAAAAGAAGCAGTCGTCTTCATCACTTCTTCCGTGAAATCTAGAACATCAGCAATTCTCGGTCCTGTGGGACTGCAAGGAAACAAGCGGAGTTCATTTGTGGCGTGCCATCCAGGGTTCCGTGGCTTGTGCTGCGGAGCTTCACCAGCCAACCCCATGGTCTGGATGGAACTGTCTCAATGGCATGACGTGAATGACATCCTGACACTCGCTTTCCACTCCCTCCATCATCCCACACCCATCAGCTTAGTTTTTGGTACAAACGTCATCCCCCGCAGGTGTTCGTTCCATTGTCTTGCCCTTTGTGGTGACAAGCTTGGGTGGCTTCCAACCCCGCCAGACGTTCACAATGGTCTTGGACTTTATTTGAACGTGTGCTAACCTCGCAAGACATGGGGTATTGGAGCATTGATCACAGATCGAAGCAGCTTTAGTGGTTATCACCTTTCTACCTAGAACTTGTCAAGATGTCGAATCTCATGCACAAGGTCAAAGATGCCTTGACTGGCCATCACCATAATTCCGATTCCCGTACGAATACCTATGATCTATCTATTGATTTGCCTCTACTCGTCTCCTAACTTATCACCGTTTTAGGCAAAGGGAACAAGCCCAGTACCAATGACTATAACTCGGGCGGCGGAGAGAGATATGGACCTGGCGATGGTTCCTATAACTCTCAGCCCAGCTCTGACAACTATAGTTCTGGCGACTACGAGCGCAGGACGGACACATACGATTCGGGAACCGCTGGTGACTACGGCGGCAGCTACGGATCTCAGTCTAGCACCTACGACTATGGTAATACTGGTGGTTTTGGTACTGGTTCTGCAGATTATAGACATGAACCAGAGAGATACGGTGGCTCAGGAACTGGCCATGAATCGCGGGCTATGGACAGTGGAGCGATGCAGGATTTCGGTGGTCGTACAGGAGGCAGCAGCTACAATACCTACAGCCAGGACACTGAATCTTCTGAGTTCAGCCCTACCAGCAGGCTTGACTCTGGCAAGATGGGATACCATTCGATGGGCCCTGGTGGTACGCAGCGGAATCAATGGTAGAGGCACTTGCAAGCAAGTATCATCAGTCTAATGCAAAGGTTGACTTCCTATGACACGTGTATGTTGGACATGTGGTAATTTGTTATGTGCGGAATAGTAATCGGGTTTCGTCGAAGATACTGCGTAGTCTGAGAGTTGATTTGCATATAGTTACTTGACATCTGGCTTCGACGCTTGTTGTAACCATTCTGTGAGCGGTTGGGCAGCCATGGACATCAACTACACTCAGTGCCTGCGGGGCCTTCAGCATGGAATGTGTTGTTGTCTTGAAAGAAGTCATGGTGGTTTGGCAAAGGCAGAGGCAGCGGCGTAACACAGCAAACCCAGCAAACTGGACAGTTCAAACAAGTGAATTATAGCACTTCCCGAAGTGGGCAGGTACGCTTCGCAACTCACAATGTGCAAGTGCGTCACGTCGTCTGCATCTCATGGCATGACCCCGACGTCTCATCGTTTTCTTACTAGCTTCCTCGTTTCTTTCATCGTCTCGTTCTATTCAGCTGTCTAGCACCGTCGTTCACCAGCGAAACTTCACCATGGCGTCTCGTCGTCTACTCTTCACCAGACCGTCCACCGTGTACCGAGACGAAGACCACGAATTCGACAACTACCAGGATCTGGCCTCCTCTCAGCCAGTACCTTTGTTTCAGCTCTGCACCAAGACAGGCTCGAAAAGAGGCGCCAAAACCCGAAAGCTTCTATCAGAAATGTCATCGAGCAGCGAACCGAAAGAACCACGTCCCATGAGCCAACAAAAAGCCTTGTCTCATCTCTCGGCCATGCACCGTGCAAATCAGACAGACCGTCATTTGAACATACCTGCAGAGTCCTTTACATCTTCGCGTCTTGAATCGCACGGATGGGAGAGCAGCGACGATGGTCACTTTCAACGCAATCCTTTGACTTATACCAGATCCTATGAGTCCTCCTACTCGCTGGGTACTCCTCTTCGTGAATCTGTCTCCGAGCATACCTCCTTGGACCTCTATGGAGCCAACTTTGATCGAACCTATAGTCAGTCCCCATACGAGTCCCTACGAGTCCAATCCCGCCTGAAGCGTCCTGAAACCCGGATTACATCTGGTCTGGAGATATCGGGTCCTGGGGCTCAGTATTCGACTACTCATTTGGAGCGCGCGCGTACCCTTGAACTAGAAAGGGAGGAGAAACAGCGCAGGTTCAAAGAAGAGGTCACCGCGCTGCTCAAGAACGTTACGCAGAAGCCTGAAAGCCCCAAACTCGACAATGAGCAGTTTCTGGTCCGGGAAAACGCTATGGAGACCAATCCAGTCAAGACACATGCGCCACAGGAGAGTCAGGCATCCGAGACCAAGTCTACCAGTACAGCCAATGTGTCTCACCTTGACAATGACTCCACCGCTCAGAACAGCATCTTGAGAACTCCTCCTGGACTCACCAGACCCGTTAGAGAAGCAGAAGCGTGGTTTCACAAGGATAATCGAGGACACAAAAAACTCCGCCAGCAAGTCAAGGGAATCGCAGAGAACTGTGCTAGTGAGAAGGAGAAACAGACGACACAGCTACTGGGTGATGTCATCCTCAATCTCTATTCCTACGTCGCCAAAGATCGCAAGAAGCAGGCTGGCAACTTTGCTGACTGGGGAAGCGTGGATCCTTATTACTGTTCAGCCAGCCAGGACGGCAACCATAGCTACTTTGACTACTGAGCCTGTTCTGTATGTCAAGATGGCTTAATTCATGTACCATCAGTGCGAGAATGTCCCATTTGAGGAGATTAAATAGCCTATAATATGTATTATAAAGTGGATGAGCGAGACTAGCTAGTCAGCTAAAATATCCTAAATATGTTTACATCGGTATAGTTATCGCTCGGAACTAAATATGTCCCAATGGGGTAATCCCCACTTAATGGATACAGTAAGTAGCTAGCTAGCTCCCGACGACGTCACCGCCATCCAAAAGTTTCCCTCCGCAACACCTCCCCCATGAACAAACACCCTTACTATCACCAACCACACTAAACCCTCACACCAACCATGAACAAAGTAACAGGAGCTCTCATCGACGAAGCAACCCACATTCGGGCCATCGCCAAAGATGTCGTCCTCTCCGGGACATATTTCTACCCAATTAAGGTGCGCCACACGCAGCCACCCATCATACCCCCATTTTCTATACCTACCTACTACACAAACCACCCCAATTCAGAGAAGAATAAAACTAAAGATAGTGAATGAATGAATAGGGAATAATCTACACCCTCAACCGCCCCACCCTCCGCCAACCTCTCCTCTCACGGTCCTCCAAAACCCTCACTCTCGGCGTAGGCGTCACCACAGCCATGTTCTTCTTCACCTACGTCCCACAAGCAGCCATCATGTCCATCACCAGTGGTCCCCTCCTCGCCCCATTCTCCGCGGCGCTACTCGTCCTCAGCGAATCCTCCACCATAACCACCTTCCTTGCGCGGTCATTCCTCCTCGCGGACGCTATCACTGCGACGTTTGACGCCACGCTCGTGGAAATGGGGCAGGAGAAACTCCTTGAACAGTCGGGAAAGAGAGGCGGTGGTGATGAGGTAATGTCACGCTTCGGGGGCAAAGAAGAAGTCGAGGAAAGACAAACGAATATGTGGAACATGTTGGTGAGGAGTGTGGTGTTGCTACCGCTGAACTTTGTGCCTGTGGTGGGAACGATCATCTATGTTTATGTGCAGGGGAAGAAGGTCGGGGAGGGGGTGCATGAGCGGTGGTTTGGGTTGAAGGGGTGGAAGAAGGCGGAGAGGAGTAGGTGGGTGGGGAGGTGGAGGGGGAAGTATACTGGGTATGTGTTTTTATTCCCTTTTCCTTTTCCTTCTTTTTCTTTGATTTTGTGATATGTTTGGAGTGTGGTGTGGGTGATGGCTAACTGACTACTGGGGTAGGTTCGGTATGGCGGCGTTCGCGCTGGAAATGGTCCCGTTTGTGTCGATTGCGTTTGCGTTTACGAATACGGTTGGGGCGGCGTTGTGGGCGGCGGATTGGGAGAGGGAGTTGCAGTAGGTTCATGTTGTTGTAAAAAAAGGATATAGGATGTGGGTGTTTTTTTGGGGGATGACTGGAAGGGGAAAAGTTTAGTATGATATTTTTATGTTGTTGTAACTATTGTATGGTACTATGTGTGGTATAAGGGGAGTTCAATAAGTGTACTTATTATATCTAGTGTGACTCCGTCCATATTGGTCAGGTGCCGGTTGTTATGGTACTATATATTATAGTATATTCGGTTGCTGTGATGTAGTATAGTATCAAGCTCTTCCGGAACAATACTACTAACTAGCGGTGTGACCATGTTTCAAAAATGGTACTGCCAACTATAATTAAAGCAAGTATTTGATAGTATATATTCGTTATGTGGAAACCCAGGAACTTAAATGTTATATTCCTCCAAATGTTGGGGGTGGAGTGGGTTGAGTGGGTTAGAGCTGTAAAATAGTTATGGATTGTTATTATTCAGTTATGACTACTATTAGTGACCTTTTTACGAATGTAGATAACTTCCCTAAGCTATCACTATTATTCACATAATACCTCCATTATGAATACCTTGGGGCCACTATATATCTTCAAGCGAGGTAAGGACTACACGGTATATTCGCTACAGCTTGTCAATTGAAGAGTTCATACCTAGTATACTACTTCAAGTTGTCCATTCGTCTACGTTCAGTCAAATGAGATCAATAATATCTACAATCTTACCAACAATTCTTCTCCCAACACTGGGTATAACTGATGAATTAAAAGCTTGGTCTGCCTGCACAGCTATGTCCATCCATATACAAGCGACACGGTCAAAGTGTGAAGACAAGAAAAAGAAAAATAAAAAACAATACCATATGATAATAACGGAAACGAAAAAGAATTTCCTAGCGCCAACGCAGAAAGCTAGCCGACCTACGCCAGAAAGTGATGCTTCATGATTGCCATTAAAAGGTGTTAGGTTGAAGATCAGAAGGAATAAAACAGTTCGAATCGAACATGGCCCGGAAGGACAAAATTCCAGGCGCCGAAATTTGCTACGAGTGGTATAAGGGTGGGATGGAATGGCCATGAAGAAGGATAGAAAATGAACTAGCAGTTCACGAGGTTGATGTGGTTGTCGTTGAGGGCAGCACACGCCAGCAGGGTGCGGTGAGGGTGGAAGGCCGTGCTGGCAATCGGGGAAGATCGGTTGTGGTGAAGGAAGCTCGAGTACGGCTCGAAGGTGGATAGATATGTACCATTGACGTTGAACGTCTTGACTTCGTGTCGGTTGGTACCCCTGTTCATACAAGTCAGCAAATCTGCTTAGCCATATTTGGCAAGAGCCACGTACACCATGAACACAGGGGCGTGTTCATGCACGCTCAATGTGCGAAGCGTATCCTTAGTCGCCGAAAACGTTGAAAAAGGCGTGTCCATTCGAAGATCCCATAGTCGAATCTCGCCATTTCGGCTACCAGACACCAGTTCTCTCAATCCACCGCGTTGCATATGGACGTTGGTAATCCACTGCTTGTGCTCGCGCCAGACCTTAACCATGGAGGTTGTCGGCTTGAGACGCTGATCAAACACTCGAACAGCGCCATCGCCAAATCCTGCCACGAAGATATTTCCTGCAACCTGATCCGACGTCAAAGAAGTGATACACGAGCCGGACCTTGCGGGAATATCCTATGCAATAGTCAGAAGAGTGTTCCCATCCTCAATATGTGGAAACATACGTTAGTGCACACTTCGGTGGCTGCGTTCCACACCCGAATAACCTTGACGTCTCCTGCGACCAACGCTTTGCCCTGACCCTGCTGCCAGTCGAGAACTAGGCCGGCATTCCGGTTACTTGGAATCAGTTCCGGTAGGGCCCTGAAAGACGTAACGATCTCAACCTTTTTGGCGGACTCATAGTTCCTAAACACTTTCAGTACGCCATCGGAGGAGCCTGTCATCAAGAGTGCCTGATCATCTTCGTTAATATACCGCACTTCGTTGATTTTCGAGCCTGCTGGGTTGCCATTAGAAAAGCGGTTGAGACGTTTGTGGCTCTGCCAGTCCCATATCCTATTTGGTGTTAGCAGAGAAAAGCACGGCTGATCCTAAGCACATACGCAATCGTATCCCTGTCGTCCGCAACTGCAAGATGATCCTCAAACTGGTGAAAGCACATCTTCAAGGGCTGACTGCTGTTAGATAAGAGAGACAATGAGTTATCCCATCGGCTACTGCCGGCTACTCCCTTCAGGGGTTGAGTCTCCGAAATGATCTTTTCGTTGCGACTCCGTCTCCAAAGGCGTTCGTTGTAATCCGCACTACCGGGCTCGTCGGGCTCATTGGGTTTCATCTGGGGTTCCCGGAAGTACTGAATAAGGGTAAGAAGTTGCTCATACTCAATCTGGTTTTCCGCGCTTATTGCATCAAGGAGTTCTGGGATTACCTCTGTGGACCAATCTAGGAACCTGCTCATCAAGGGGATCGTCGGGACAGCAGTGGGATCTCTGGGTTCAAAGCCTCGTGAAGTAGGGGTCGGGGCCTGGTGATACGCAGTCGCGGGAGCGACTTGGTCGTTGACCTCTGGGGGCCGCGTCCATTCGGGAGGGGCTCGTCCTCTGGGTGTCATGGGAACTCGGCTTTTCGGGGCCGTTGACGTTTGCTGCGACTGCGCCTCGCCTGCGGATGAACTGCCGAACGCCAAATTCTTGAGCGATGCAGCGACACTCGCCGTTCGTTTTAGGCTCAGTGAAAGGTAACCTTCTTGTTTCGGCGGTGCAGCGGAAGGAGGAGTCGGCGGTGGCGCCGTCTTCTTTGACTCTGGCCTTTCTCGGACCTGATACTTCTGGGATACACGACTCGAGAGATCCAAAATCTCATTGCGAATCTTGTTGGTTAGCGTCGCCATGGGGGACTGAAGAAGACAGATGTGGATGTAGTCGACCACCATGGCCGCATCTTGGGCAATGTCAGGATGGGGATCAACAGAAAGAATTAGTAGTTGTTTCCAAATAGTACCAAAAGTCGTATTCCGAGACAAAATCTGCGACCTATGGTTGGGATCCGTGGAGCCATTCGCTGAGATATTCGGCACATCCTCTAAGGAAAGACTCCGAGTGCCATCTTGCTCCAGTTTCAGCAGGAGGTTCTGCTTCTCGTCCTGAAATTCCTCGTAGGCAGCAACCAAGAACTTGTTCTGGTAGCGCCTCACGAACGTTGAGAAGAAGACCAGGAGTTCTTTCCTCACCAGGACACTGCCGTCTGCTGCCATAGGTAGCACCGTCATAGCCAGAGACTCTTCTATTTGGGCAACCTGGTCGGTCAAATCAGGGATACCCAAGAAAGTCGTTACGGCATGGAGCATTGCAGCGCGGACCTCGGGGACCGGATCGAAATTAAGCTCGCACAGCCTTGCAGGAGCAGCGCAACGAATGCCCATCCACTTGGCTTCAGGGAAGTCAGACCACAACATGCTAATACAGAGACACGACCATTGCCGCAACAGTGGGTTTTCAACATCCATGAGGTGCTTAAGGCAGGAGTCAAAGAGCTCAGCAGAAAGGCACACATTCTGGCCTTGAGGGTAATTCTTGCAAAAGATCGAGACAATGAACGCACACATCGCTCGATGTTCGCTAGCATTGCCCACGGGAATTGGCGAGGAAGGGTTGAGGATGGAAATGAAGTAATGGATTCCGTTGTCCTTCAACAAATCGTTCTGGACTGTATGATCGACGGCCATGATCCTTGCCCAGATGAAGACCATCACAGGCTTCAGTTCTTGGGCGGCGGACTGCAGGAGCTTTACGACATATGGGAATATCCCGATGCTCAGAGCCAGATGGACAGCCCAAGGTCCTAGATCCAGGAATTTGCTAAGCAATATCAGCGCCCTGAGTCGATGCGCTTGACTGAGAAGGACCTGTAGCACAATCGGAAGTTGATCCGGGGGATTCTTTTCCGTTGGACCTGACGACAAGTAAACCTCAAAAGCGGTAAGCTGCTCGGCAAAGAATGTTGAATGCTGATACTCATATTGCCTGCGGCCCTCCTCGTGGTCAATGAGAGCTGGTAATTGTGACAAGACCATTTCAACTGCCAAATCCCAGCTCTTCCACAGCGGGTGATGATGGGTCTCTGGAAGCTCAGGAGATGAAATAGGATGGCACTTGTATGTTCGCATGATACGCTCGGCGAGCAGGAAATTTCTAAACAAAGCAGCGACCATGAGATCTTGACGGAAGAGCTTCTTGAACAGCGCCCGTGGCAATGTGTTCCAGGCGATAGTGTCCGTGATCGCAGTAAAGATCCAGTTCAGCTCTCCAAGTGGGCTTCTCCGGTCCTGTAAGCGGCCTGGCACTCTGAACTCGTCAATTGAGATATTCGTCTGCAGGGGATTTTGGAGGATGAAGAAACGCAGGGCAATCTCAATAGGCGTAGTCAAGCAACAAGTGAAGATATCCGCTGGGAGATCGGGGTTAGTGGGGAGCGACTCTGTCTTCTGACATGCTGCGAGGATGATACAGTCCCCGTAGTTTTGAACGATGGCATTTGGATCCCGCTTCTTCGCCTCTGCGTTCTCCTTCTCATGTTTCTCGACAAAGGTGTGAAAGTTCGACACAATATTCCCTGCATGCGATACGTCGAAGACAAACAGGCTAGGTCCTGCGAGCCAGGACTGCAAGTCGTAGAGGGATACCGGAATGTACTGAGTGTAATTCTTGTTGAAGACCCAAATCTCACCCGACTGAGTAGGGAGAGGTACACCATGGCCGTTGTAATGGAACAGCACCCGCTCGTCCTTGGCGTTACGGCGTAGAGAAATGCAAAACTTCTTCGTCTCATCGACAGAGGGGTCAAGATATTGCTTGTACCTAGTTCTTAAGCTAAGTGTCTCATATTGCTCCTGCAGTTTCTTTCCGATCTGCTCCATGATCTTGTTGTGACCACCGCCGGTAGTAGACGTGGGATCGACCCAGCATTCCAACTTAGCTGTCGGGTTCGTCTTGACCACATCGGGCGGGTCGACGCCAATATTCAGGCAGATGGCTAGCGCCGCGGAGACGGTCTTCAGGCGGTCCTTCATGCGCCAGTCTTGGCTGGGCCAGCTTCCGACCGGATCCCTAGGGATACCGTTCGTCTCGTGGCGCTTCTCTGTGAAATACATATAGAAATTCTAAAGCAGTCAGATCCGACCGGATTGTAAGCCTTAGCTATCCGTTGCATCTGCTTACCGAGTGCAGGACTTTCAGGTACTCGCTCGAGGTATATTCCTCCTGCCATCCATGTCTCATGGCAATGTCCTCTTCCTCATCCCCAGCAATGGCTTTATCAAGCCCTACTCGGGGCCCATAGTCGCTGCGGGCCCTCTTCAGGGTCGCAATCGGTCTTGCAGAATCCGACGATCGATCCGAAGTCAGTCGGCCATTGTTCTCGATGATCAGCGGGTTCTCGCCTGCAGACGAGCTAGTCGGTCGTTCGGGGGTGATAACGGGAGTCTGTTTGTGCTCCACGGTAGTAAATGATCGGTGGTGTCCTGGAACAGGAGCGGGGGATCTGTCACGCGGGGGAATGTGTGTTTCTAGATCCGGACCAAAGGCAACCCGAACAGACTTGTGATGACTCTTCCGAGGTTCGGGATGCGATGCCTGTTGAATTGTGGGCTCCATTCTGAATTCTGGTCAATGAGGGCCTGTTATACATCGAAGGTCATCATGTAGCGTGAAGTAACGAGGACGAAGCTGGCCGGGACCTGAACATGCGGAGAAGTTAGCATATAGACCAAGACGATGGAGTATCTCACATGCGGGGAGTTGGTGTTGCCCAGGCGTCGACTTTAGGGCAGATGCGCGGGTGAATATGTTCTCACCTTATCAATACTCATGTCACAGTGCATGCACTGGGACCAGGCGATTCTCATACCCAATCCGGAGGGTCAGCAATCAGCAGCCAGCAGTTGGGAGGACGCCCTGTGGCGAGGAAGCTCTGCCACGTTCAGGGAATCCAAAAACACTCAAACACCAAGCGATTCGGTCTCCCCAGGACGTTGAAACTGCTGACACTCCCTTCCAAAGACGCGGGGGGACTTGGTTGATGATGTTGGTTCGGCGAGAACCATGAGCTCTGGCCGGGATCCTCTTGGCATGGCCTGGACGGAACATCGTTGTCCCCGGAGCATATCCAACAACGCCTGCGCTTAACTGGATTAGGCAGCTCCCATGGATGACGATATTTCTACCGAGGCGGTGGTTGGTTTACTTTTGACGGTGGGAGGAGGTATTGAAAATATTTGTGTTATTCTTTTTCCTTCAAAAACATGTACTTTCACATTCATTCTTCATTGTTCATGGTACCTGGAAGCTTACACTACAAAGTTCACAAGTCACATGTCTAGCAGTTTGACTAAGCGTACCCAGCTCTATGCATGGATAAGAACTCCGGTGTTCATAACGTACCTAAATGGGACTAGATCAGTATCATTTTAACTACTCCATCCACTACCCACCCAAGCTATAATTATATTAGGAGTTCAGGAGAGACATTGACACGGTTCACACTCTATCAAAACGTTGTGATTCATATGCTTCTTCCCCAATACAATCTTGAGGATGCAACTGGATACATCAAGACATACACGGACATCAGAAATGAATTCTAAAAATGGCGAAAAAAAAGTGTTATGCTCTACTAGTTAGTAATTGCGCTTTTTGTCTTCCCCCACTACTAGCTACTAGTATATACTTCGTACACAGTAGCAATATATTTTCGCGACCCTGCTACAGTGGTGGTAAGGAGGCGTGGGGGAGAGAACAGAGACAAGGGACCAAGACGGGTAGGCTTAACGGCGATCGGAGGGCCGTCAGATCATGTTTCGTTTCAGTCGCTCTTCTGTGTGAAACAGCCTGCCCATGTCTGTCGGTATGCCAATACTATGTAAGAGGGTAGACTGGATGCACCCTTCCGACCGAGAAGTTCTGAATAACGACTAGGTATGGTCGGAAGGACGCAGCTTCATTTCAGCCGACCTTCTTTGCACCCCCAAATGCGCTCTAATTAAAGTGGTAAGAACGGGGCTACTGCAAGCCCTGCAGGCTGGGCCATGTTCACCCATGGGTATGAGCCAACCTCATTGGTGGTGAAGTTAGGGAACCCCGATACGGGTGATGGCTTCTGAGTGGCTTGCAAAAGATGAAGGGGGAAAGAAAGGCAGCACACCATCACGGGACATCTTGAAAAAGCACTAAACAAAAACCGTCAGCGCTCAGATCACGATGCGCCACTGCCGCCCTGAAAGAAACCAATTGAGAGATGGGAGCATTGCAAATTACGACAGGAAGGGTAGTGGCATCCTGCTACGTAGTACTGACAGGTAGTAAGAAGTACTGTAGCTACGACCAGTTAGCTAGTAACTAGTAGTCAGTACTTTCTGTGTCCCTTACTAGAGACTTACTAAATAGCAGGTTTGAAAGGGGGGGCCAGCCATTCAGCGCCCCATGCCCAGTGGCCTGAGAATCATATCTCTGGCGGTTCCCATGGTCCCAGTGGTTACTGGGATAAGCCACTAAACCACACAGGGTATGTAGATATCGATCGAACCGACCGTTGTCTGGAATCCAGAAATTAGTTCGCCTGTCGTGGGAATGATGGGCCAGATAATGCGGACCAAGCCCCTTTTGCCGGGACCAATGTGATCTCTGCTTGACCCTAGTGGTTCTCTTTTCCCTAACCCCCCTTAGAAATTGGGACGGTTCAACCCCTGGTTCCGCCCTGCTCAATCTCGTGGTTTTCGTTTTCTGGCAGCGTCCCGAGCTATTTTGTATGAGAGGAGCCTCGCTACGGGCGGAGCTAACTGTTAGGTCTGTAAGCCTGGCCCTCCCCCAGCGCTAACCCATCCGGACTTTACACCGTATTTCCCCAGCCAGTCAGCTTCGCTAGGTAGTCTACCGTTGATCAACTGCCCTCCCAGAAATAGAAGGTGGAGGAGTTTGAACCGACCGGATTCATAATCCCTGAATAATGCTTTGTCGCCAATCAAACCGACACATTCGACTTTTACCATGATGCTTGCTTCTTTTTTTCCAACGGAAGCTCACCTATCCGAAGCGTCGCTGCTTTGTAGACAAAGATACCTCGTTTTGCGAACTGCTGGCTACTATAGCCACACTGTGACGTAGCCAGTGCCATGCCGACTATGATGACCCCGGTTTGTTTGCTTTGCAACGATTTCAGCTCTAGTCGGGAGCTGCTCATAACAAAGGGATGGGACTACGGAATCGTTGCTATCTGTATACTAAATAAAGTTCACGTCCCTCGCGCATCTTCCAGTCTTAAACCTGACCTTATGTCTGCTTGTCTGGGACACGGAGCCGCCCTCTGTCTGATGCGAAATGGAGCATCTATGTCCGGCTGATGCCGGATGTCTGGGCCCAGAGACCAAAGGTATATGGAGTATATGGAGCCATTGGATACTAGCAAGCTTTGTGATGGCTGGTCAGGCCATAGCGTAGAGCGGTATTCTTCTCCAAAAATGCGCCGCCCGCAAGACAGGTGGGTGTTGCTACTGTCCGTAATGTACTTTGAAATAAGTATGTCTTGTTCCTGCATCGAAGATAGCCCTGAATCAGCAAGGGATGTTTAGATCGTGGCCAATGTGATATCATCGTCGGACTAATCATAATTTAAGAAACTTCTTCGGCGGTACTCCGTACATTGCCCAGCCGATGAGTTTTGTTTGCCAGGTGGAATGTTCGGGGTGTCGATGATGTGGCTCGGGAGCCACAAGGGAACCAACCAACCTCTCGCGGTGGTTCCTGCATGACCAGTGGCTCAACCCACATCCACTCACATTGTATTATTGCGTTACTGGCTCGCAATGGAGGATACCTGGTTCCCTTCCTCAAGATGACCGAATCTGTGTAGACGCCCCTGCATTTCACATCTCCTCTATCGTTCATGCATCGAGGAATAAGCAGATAACTGGGTGCGATGTGGAGCGACAAGCCGAGTGGACCAACGACAGACACATGTCGGCAGTTGCGAATTGCATTGCTTATTCTGAAGGCCGATCGACCAAACTCTGGTTGTAAGCCAGATTAATTGATCCTGACAGAAGACTCATCGGGATTTGATGGAAAACTACCCGTAAGACAAGGGGAATGAGAATCACAAGTTAATTGTATCTAGCTGTCTGTGCCTTTCAGTAGTAGAATGAGGCTTGAAATGGATGGGGGAGGTTGTAAGGTGGTTCGGGGAGGGTGGGAAGAGGTGGGAATGTAACTAAGAAAGAGTTGAGGTATGGGAGGGTGGATGTACCAACACCACTGTCTGGGGAATGGAAACGCCTCGTGGGAGGATGGATTGACCTTTATTTACTTTTTTTTTTTCTTTCTTTCTTTGGGGTGTGTTGACAGGGAGAGAAATGAGATTAACTTTCCCGCAAGACGGAAAAGTAAGCAAGTAAGAAGCTGCCTTGGAGAACGGCGATGAGGCGGTGTCGCCCTGGCAGGTCCGCATCCCCATCCGTCTTTTCGCTCTTCTTCTGCCCTTCCCCCCCCTAAACTAAAACTAATTGCTGCCAAAAGTCCAGAGGATAATTATCTAATGCTGGCTGGCCAGAAAGTGTGAAACGCCGGAGTCTTTCACTTCTCTCGTCTCCCTCTCCTCTCTTCCTCCAATTCTCCAGGTCCAGAGCCCCAACTTCTTGCTCGCGCACCTTCATCCTTTTACTTTCTTTCCTTGTTGATGTTCTTCTCGTCTTTGGGTGCTCTGTTGTCCACTTTTCCGTCGGCCTTCTTTGCTTGTCCTTAGTCGCAGTCGTTCCGTTCCGTTTGCTGTTATCCACCCCTGTCTGTTTTCTTGTGATTTTCTATATTCCACCCCTCTCCATGCTCTGTCAGTGTCGCCATCGGATTTCAATGAGGCTTTTTCGGAATTAAAAAAAGGACAGAACAAACACTCTCAGTCTCCGAATCGATACGTTGAGCGGCTTCAAGAGAAGGGTCGATTTGAATGGGGTGCCTTTAGCTGCTCTTTCTAGCATCGTCAGGAACGAACGCCGGTCCCTACTGTTGTTTCTCTGCTTTCGACTCCGAATTCAATTCTCCCCGCCGTTCGCTCCTTCATAACGTTCAACAAGCCGGCGCTCTTGAGCTATCCTCTTGCCGGTCTTTAGTGGGATCTCTTGTTTTGATCTATAATATACCCATCGCATTGCAATTGGAACTCTGTTGGTACAGGTGACCTGGTGCAGCTGGTGGACTCCCCCAGTTCCCTCTTACACTTCCGCCGTTGCTCCGCTGCTTTGTACTTGAGACGACCGTTTACGACTCAATCTTAACGATGGCATTCCTCTTTAAATCAAAGAAACACCAGCAGGGTTCTGGCCTACCCCCCGCGTCAAGAAACGTCCAATCTTCAGAAGGGCCGCCGGCAAACCCAAGCCCCAACCCATCAGCGGCTGCGCAGCCCGGCGGCGCCAAAGAACGGGATGGATCACATTCCCAGACCCCGACGCCCAGCAGTAGCTACAATAATTCTTTGAACTCGTTGAACGGCACGAACAGCCCCGATCACCCGCGGATGCGCCAGAGAGCCGAATCCGAATCGCAGGTTGGTTTCCCAGATCTTCTCACTCAGTGACACTCAACATTGTGTGTCCTGTTCTGCTTGTGATGAGTGCTACTCATTTTCCGAGCCTTGGCTGATCATACGCAGAGCCAACGACCACAACAGGCGGCGCCAAGTAATTCCCCGAACGGTAGCCCAGGTGCATCATTGTATCCATGGTCGCAACGACGCGTGAACTTCACTTCCGCCCAGACAAATCCATTCCCTCGTTATGGAGCAGCAATCAATGCGGTGGCATCGAAGGAGGGCGACATCTACATGATGGGTGGCCTAATAGATGGATCAACTGTTAAGGGAGATTTGTGGATGATGGAAAACAGCGGCGGTAACTTGTCCTGTTTCCCGATCGCTACTGTCTCCGAAGGGCCAGGCCCGCGAGTCGGCCATGCCAGCTTGCTGGTTGGCAACGCTTTCATCGTATTTGGAGGCGATACTAAGGTGGATGAAACCGACACCTTGGATG